TCCCTAACTGCACTGGTTAAAACCTACAGAATAATGTTTAATTGAAGTGATGAGAGCAGACATCCTCATCTTGTTACTAATGAGGACAAATATTCGGTCTTTCACCTTTAACTATGACTTAACCTTTTCTTCACATTTACCCTTTAAGGGCTTGAAGAATCTTCTTCTATTCCTAGTGTTTTGTTGTTGCATATTTTATCATGAAGGGTTTTGAGTTTTATCTTATGCTTATGTTGACTGTTGTAGTTCAGTCGCTAAGTTGTGTCCACCTCTTTGTGACCCCGTTGACTGCAAACATGCCAGGCTTCCCTGTCCTTCACCATATTCCTGAGTTTGCTCAGATTCATGTCCATTGAGTCAGTGATACTATCTAACCATCTCATCCACTGCTGCCTCCTTCTCCTTTTGCCTTCAGTTTTTCCCAGCATCAAGATCTTTTCCTATGAGTCGGCTCTTCACATCAGGTGGCCAAAGTATTGGGGCTGCAGCTTCACCATCAGTCCTTCCATTGAATATTCAGGATTGATTTCCTTTTTTCCTATTTATTCTTTAGTCAGTTTCAGTAGTTTATATCTTTTTAGGAGTTTGTCCATTTCATCTAGTCTATCAAAATTGTCAGTGTATAATTTTTCATTTTATTTCCATATAATACTTTTTATTTCTGCAAGTTGTTAGTGATGTCCTTCTTTCATTCCTGATGTTAGTAATTTGAATAGTCTCCTTTTTTCTTGGACGATTCAGCTAAAAGTTCATCAGTTTTACTGATCTTTTTAAAGAGCCAACTGTTTGTTTTGTTGATTTTCTCTATTGGGATTCTATTCTGCATTTCATTATTTTTGTTCTAATGTGTATTATTTCCTTCCTTTTGCTTGCTTTAGTTTAGTTTGCTCTTTTTCTGATGTGTTAAGGTAGAAAACTAGGTAACTGATTTGAGATCTTTCTTCTTTTTTTATATTGGTATTTACAATTCTAAATTTCCTTCAAATATTGCTTAAGCTGCATCCATAAATACTGGTATGTTGTGCCTTTATTTTCATTCATCTTGAAGTATTTTCTAATTTCTTATATGATTTCGTCTGTTACTGGTGTTTTGGGAGTACATTGTTTACTGTCCACATAGTTTTGAGTTTCTCAAATATGCCTGTTATTGACTCTAAATTCATTTCATTGTGATCTGAGAGCATATGTTGTATGAACTCACTCACTTAAAATTTATTTTAGCTTGTCTTATGGTCTAGGATATGGTCTGTCCTAGAGAATATTCCATGTGCACTTGAGAATGTGCATTTTATATCTATTAGATATACCTGGTTTATAGTATTGTTTAAATTTTTTATTTCTCTTTCTAATCCTCTGTCTGGTTGCATTGTTCACTATTCATATTTCAGTTTTGACATCCCTACTAGTGTTCCTGAAGGGTTTATTTCTCTCTTCCAATCTGTAACTTTTGCTTTTTGTATTTTGGTGGTTCAATTTTTGGGTGCATGTATGCTTTTGTTATACTCCTTCATGCATTGATCCTTTTTTTAACTATAAAATCTCTCTGTTTTTCTCTGGTAGCTTTCTTTTTGTTTCTTTTAAAGCCCATTTAGTCTGATATTCATATAGTCACTCCAGCATTCTTATGTGTGTTTGCATGATATATCTATTCCCATGCTTTTATTTTCAGCCTATTCATATCTTTGAATCTAAAAAGTGTCTGCAAGTTTCTTCACTTAAAAACAAAACTCTTTTATTTTATTTTATTTTTTTGATTTCTGGTTGCTGAGATGATTCAGCACGTTATTTCCAAGTGGCAAAATTCAGGACAATCTGAGGACTCAAAAGTGGCAGCTACATTCACCAACAGGTTCATGTGAGAGACACATACATACAACCCCATTTTTCAGTGTATATACAGCAAGGGGCCAAGACCCCCAATCAGCACAATAACTTATTTTGTACGTTACAGTGCACAGAACAACGGAGGGAAAAGACACTTTCTTGGAGAGGTTCGTCTGGTCTCTGAAGGCGGTTGGAGCCCAGTGCCCCAGCCATCATTAGCTCGATGCGCTGCCTCTTTGGTTGCACTGGCCTCGGAGGCAGCTGCTTCCTGTAAGGGATCTGCTGGCTTCTCCTCCTCCTCCTTCTCCTCCTCTTCCTGGGGGTAGAGGTCTGGGTACTTCTGCATGCACTCCTGCATGGCCCGGAACTGGTCCACACAGTCTGACCCCTTGACATCCTCCTTGCTGTAGTGGAAGCAGGAAAGGGCCGCTTTGAACTGCTCCCTGCACCGGCCACTGGCCATCCCCCCAAGGCATGGGCAGTTCCAGTTGATATCTCCATTTGGCAGGATCAGTCCATGCTCCTCGTACGGATCATTGGGGTCGTCGGCCACCAGCTCTGCGTTGCTTGGAGTCTCGTGGTCTTCTTTGGTCACAAATATGGTTCGATCCTTCCCTTCCTGCCCGCAGTAGGCCATGATGCAGCCCGGCACTCCGACCTCGCGGCGATCGCGGTGGCGGCCTCATGCCGTGACCTCTCCGCCGGGGGGCAACAAAACTCTTAAAAAAAAAATTGGGTTATAATTGCTTTACAATGTTGTGTTAGTTTCCGCTGTACCACAGTGTGAATCAGCTGTGTGCATACACATACCCCTCCCTCTGGAACCTCTCTCCCCTCCATCCACCACCCTAGGTCTTCACAGAGAGCAAGCCTCTTTAAATTAGTATTTCATTAAATTTATTTGGCACAAATTGTCATTTTTCAACAGTGGCAATTTTGTTTCTAATATATGGATGACAATGTTTATTTAATGGTCAAACATCTCACCATTATGCTGGATAATGCAATGATGTTTTTAGAATATGAGGTATAATCTCTGCTTCTCAGGAAATTTAAAATATAATATAAAGGATTTATTATCTTTTTTGTCCCTATTTGTCTGAGAAGTATGGCAGAGAAAATGTGATCATATTAATGTGATAGTGAGAAAGCAGGTGATGTTTGTAAACTTAAGTTTGAACTCACCTCTCACTTTTAATATATTAAAGTCTTAAACCAAATGATGGTATTAATTTTAAATTTATGGATTCATGCCATTACAAGTTTTGCCAGTAATAATAGAAGATTCCCAGAAATTTCCAATTTTTGTAGCACTATCTTCCTTGAAATTGTGTTGGGAAGCAGGGGGAAAACACTTGTTGTTTATTCATTAAGTTGTGTCTGACTCTTTTGCAACCCTATAGACTGTAGCCCATCAGGCTTCTCTTTCCATGGGATTTCCCAGGCAAGAATACTGGAGTGGGTTGCCATTTAGTCTCACTTACTTGCTTTTGACCTATTCAGCTGTCTTGTAAGATGATTAGCACAGTTTGTGTATAGACTTCAGAAAAGGAAAAATTAACTTCTGAAAATGACTGAACAACAGCTGGAATTAATGAATAAGAAGGTGAATGAATGAATGTGTCAACCAGGTGAACTGTGAAATGTAGGTTTTATAGGCATTATGTAAAATGAAAGACTTAGCATAATTCAAGGTACTAAAAAATAGAAACTGATTCAACAATGATTAATAATAGTGTTGTGAAAACTTTGATAGCTAATTTTTATGGGTGCTTCTTGTTTGCCTTGTTGTTGTTCAGTCACTCAGACATGTCCAACTCTTTGAAACCCCATGGACTGTAGCATGCTAGGCTTCCCTGTACTTCACCATCTCCCAGCGTTTGCTCAAACTTCTTTCCATTGAGTCAGTGATGCCATCCAATCATCTCATCCTCTGTCATCCCCTTCTCCTCCTGCCTTCAGTCTTTCCCAGCATCAGGGTCCTTTCTAATGGGTCAGGTCTTTGCATCAGGTGGCCAAAGTGTTGGAGCTTCAGCTTCAGCATCAGTCCTTCCAATGAACACCCAGGACTGATCTCCTTCAGGATGGACTGGTTGGATCTCCTTGCTGCCCAAGGGACTCTCAAGAGTCTTCTCCAACACCACAGCTCAAGAGCATCAATTTTTTGGCGTTCAGCCTTCCTTATTGTCTAGCACTTACATTCATGGACTGAATAGTCCATGGGGTCGCAAAGGGTCGGATACGACTGAGCCAGTTTCACTTTCACTTTTATCACACCCATACAGGACTACTGGAAAAACCATAGCTTTGACTAGATGGACCTTTGTTGGCAAAGTAGTGTCTGCTTTTTAATATGCTGTTTAGGGCTTCCCTGTTGGCTCAGCTGGTAAAGAATCCACCTGCAATTCAGGAGACCTGGGTTTGATCCCTGTGTTGGGAAGATCCCCTGGAGAGGGGAATAGCTACCCATTCCAGTGTTCTGGCCTGGAGAATTCCCTGGACTGTATAGTCCATGGGGTAGCAAAGAGTTGGACACAACTGAGTGACTTTCACTTTCATGATTATCATAGCTTTTCTTCCAAGGAGCAAGTGTCTTTTGCCTGGTACTATTCTGATATCTTTACATATGGATCAAGGATTGGATTGTCAACTAAGACTGACATAAATTGAAGATGTTAATTAGTATTAAAACCTTACTAATATTTTGTCATTGTGAGGGCTTCTCTCAATGTCTAGAAGCTCCTTCTGCTTCTCCTGTGCCTTTTGATTGCTTGAATCCTTGAAATTATAAGTAATATATCTATAGTATATTTATCATATTTCTCAATCCACCCTCTACCAACCAAACTAAACAAAACCAAATGTAATAAAATATTTTTAAAAACATATCTGAAGTTCCCTCTTAATATCTTTTACAGTGGGAAGCTTTTATTTCATTTGGTTTTGTTTAGTTTGGTTAGTAGGGGGTGGGTTGAGAAATATGATAAATATACAGTAAATATAAATACATTCTTGCCACCAACAGATATCCACAATAGCAGTTTGTTGTATTTCTTTTGTGTGTATGTGCACATGATATACAATTCTTTCTTTTATTTGACCTTAGAATATTTGTGAACTTATATGATGGTTTTAATTTTCAATTTGTGTTTTCCTTAACCCAACTCTCAAATCAGGATGGAGATCCAGTTCGTCCAGGAGTGGCCATGACTGATCTTGCCACTGGCCTTTATGCCTATGGAGCCATTATGACTGGATTGATACACAGATATAAAACCGGAAAAGGACTGTTCATTGATTGTAACCTACTGTCATCACAGGTACCAATCCAAATAACATTTCAGATAATGGAGTAAAAACATGTATCTGTGTTATACGTTTTCATATCAAATCCTGTGGGCATGTGCAAAAACAAAAAACAAAACAGGAGGAACTGCTCCTTCCTCCCAAAAAAACCAACAACAGCAAAAGCTGTTCTGTTTTTGTGTCCTTGATGTTGTAATATTAAAATAAGTGGACCACAAAAAGTTTGTTGTAATTTAGATATTGCTGTTGAACTAGAATTCTAGATGGTTTTTATTTTGAGAAATAGGTCTGTTACCTATTTTATTAGGTCTGTTACTATTTTGAACTAGAATTCTAAAGACTGTTTTTGTTAGGTCTGTTACTATTTTTGTACCATAGACCATTTGGGTAGTCTGGTGAAGTCTGTAGACCTTTCCTCAGAATTATGTTTTTGAATGCATAGAATGAGATATTTAGAATTACAAAGGAAGCCAATTATATTGAAATACAGTTATTTCAATGTAAAAGCCAAATTGTGTTATAATAGTACATATGATTTTTCATTAATACATTAAAATAGAATATCTATTAGAGGATTCAATAACCATTGCAATTTTAAAGTAGTGACTGAAGTAACTATAATATGATGAGAAAGTGTGCTTAATATTTACTGGTAATCAGGTCATACTTAGGCACTGCTCATACTCCTGTGGTTTGTTGCCTATTTTCATGGTGGAATAAAATGCTAAATTTACCAACAAAGGTTCATGCAGTCAAAGCTGTGTTTTTTCCAGTTGTCATGTATGGATGTGAAAGTTGGACCCTAAAGAAGGCTGAGTGCCGAAGACTTGATGCTTTTGAAATGTGGTGTTAGAGAAGACTCTTGAGAGTCCCTTGCACTGCAAGATCAAACCAGTCCATCCTAAAGGAGATCAGTCCTGAATATTCATTGGAAGGACTGATGCTGAAGCTGAAGCTCCAGCACTTTGGCTGCCTGATGTGAAGACCCGACCCATTAGAAAGACCCTGATGCTGGGAAAGCGTGAAGGCAGGAGGAGAAGGGGACGACAGAGGATGAGTTGGTTGGATGTCATCACTGACTCAATGGACTTGAGTTTGAGCAAGCTCCAGGAGATGGTGAAGGACAGGAAAGCCTGGCGTGCTGCAGTCCATAGGGTTGCAAGGAGTCGGACACAACTGAGCGACTGAACAACAGCAACATACTCCTGTGGTTTGATGCTTAACGTTCATAATGGAATAAAACGCTAAATTTAAGTTAGAGGTTAATGAAAATAAAGGTGCAATTTTTTCCATTCAAGTTAATTACTTCCCAAAATTCTTTCCATAAGCTCCAGATTAAGAGCACTTGGTTTGTATTGCTGTCAGTTATGTTATGCTAAGCGCTAAGCACTAAGCAGGTGGAATAAAAGGGTTATTTAACTCTCTCTCAAATTGACATTTTGCCTACTTTTCACTGGATGAGACCTAGATGTTGTACCGTAAGTGGAGGTTGCTTCTGAATAATTTTTAAGGGAGAGGAAAAAAAGAAAATATCTAATTTGTGCAAGGAGACATTTTAGTGAGGGAAAAAATGCTTCATAGAAACCTCTGTTGGGAATTTCAGATTTAAATGGCATACATGGGAAAGTAGTAAACTTGGAACTCTCGTTTGGAGACTTTTTGTTTTCTCTTAGACAAAATTAAGGTGGTATATAGAGGCAAGAAATATTAATATGGTTGAAGATAAATACTATAAATGGGTTTTCATTACTAGCTTTGAGTCACAGTCAGAGTTTTAATGGTTATATAAAAGGATGAAAGAACTCTCTCCAAATGAATGATCTATCTCCTTAACAGAGAGGCAGAGGTTAGGTATGGAATGAAGTTGAAAGTCTTGTCTTCCCTCCCTTAATTTTATAGCTGCAAGGAACCTGACATAGGTTAAGTCCCTGCATAAAAGTTGCACACCCAGTAAATATGGAATCCATGCAGGTTTCATGGGTTTGTGACCTTTGTAGTCACAGAAGGCACTGGGCTTAATTTAAATGCTCTGCTGTGACTGCCTTGAAATTCTTAATAATTTTTAAAATTGGGATATAATTGCTTCATAATGTTGTGTTAATTTCTGCTATACAACAAAGTGAATCAGCTATATGTGTGTGTGTGTATGTGTGTGTATATGTATATATATCCTCTCCCTCTTGGGCCTCCCCTCACCAACCTGCAGCTTAGGTCATCACTGAGCACTGAACTGGGCTCCCTGTGCTTTAGAGCAGCTTCCCACTAGCTATCTGTCATAGTTTGAATGAGAGGCCCTGCATTTTTCATTTTGCTTCAGTACTCACAAATTATGCCGCTGGTTCTGTATTTGAGGTTCTACTTAGGTCTCCTGATCTCTACCTGGACTGCTTTTCTTATAGTATGTCAACTCTTAACTTGGGAAAAAAATTTCTTGTAGAGTATTATAGAGTTAAATTCTCTTCTGACACCTAACACAGTGATTCACAGTCTGGAGGTGTATGCTTCCCTGGGGGTGGGAATGAAGGTGAAGTCACTGGTGGGGCTGTTTCAAAGTGAGAGTACAGTAAGTATAGACTAACGCATACTTGGAGTGTGTGTCTAAATTTGTTGTTTGCGTTGCTCCTTGAGGCTGTAAGTTCCAAGTGTGCAGGAATAATGTTCGTTTTTATTTATGTTTGTGGCCTCTTCAAAGCCCAAGTATTTGTCAAATAGCAGGTCTACCAATCTTTGGAGATATGTCAGAGAACCAGTTACCAGTGGGCATGCCTCATATACCTTCCATTTTCTAGGGAAAATTAGAAAAAAGTAGTGAACGATTGACTTAGGATAAGTACTTGATAAACAGCTAATGATGAAATGATTTGCTTTTGGCAAACACAGTAGCAGTGATTTAGCCTAATGTGTTACAGGTAACCCAGTCAAAGGTTGCTAAAATCACTAGTGTATTTAAGACTCATTAGCTATCTTTTTATAACTGACATAGAACATATATTAGTTTCAGTGTAAACATAATGATCTGGTATTTGTATATATTGTGAAAAGGTCATCATAATAAGTCTAGTTAGCTTCCATCACTATATAAAGTTACAAATACATTTTTCTTGTGATAACTTTTAAGATATACTCTTTTAGCAACGATCAAATGTGCAATAGAGTCACTATGCTGTGCTTTATATCTCCTTAACTTTTAATTTTTATTATTGCGAGTTTATGCCTTTTGACCCCTTTCACCCATTTTGCACACCCCCTGCCCCTCAATTCATCCATCAATCTATATATATGAGCTTGGTATTTTTTTAAATTAAAAAAATAATTTAGATTCCACATATAAGTGAGATTCATTGATGGACACTTATTTTGTTTTCATATCTTGGCCAATGTCATTAAATACCCTTTAACAATAAAAATCTTTTATGCCTTATTTTACAGCTTTGCACTTGCACACCTACTGTTTTATTGAACCCTCATAATCATCATTTGAGGGAGATAGGTAGATGAGGAATTTCTGTTTTCATTTCACTTATAAGAAAACTGAGGCTAAGAGAGGTTGACCTGCTTGAGCAGCTGAGTCATAGCAAGACCTCTCGTTTCTGACATCCTGACTGGTTCTCTTTTCCCTGCTTAATGAAGGAAAAGCTTTGGCATTGAGAGACAGGCAAGCTTCAGCTTTCCTTTGCTGAAGCTAAAGAGGAGAAGGCAAATTGAGTAAGAGGCAGGGGAAGCAGAAGAACACTCAGTAATAAGGGAACAAATAGTGAGACTGCCCCTACTTTCCCAAAGCCTGCCAAGAGCTGAAGTAAGACAATGCAACCAAGTAGGCCCTTCTGGATCAATATCTAATCATGTTTAGATCCCGTGAGTGAAAACTGTCATGGAATTTAACGTTATGGATAAGTTCTTTTGTTGAAATATGAGAATTTTGAGAAAAATAGCATTTAGAGTCATGGGACGATGGGGTTTTTTTTGTTTCAGCTCTAGTTGACTGAGCAGTCACTATGTCCCAGCCTCTGTGCTCCAGAGGTTGGAGTGGAAGGCAGTGCTGCTGTTTACCAGAAGAGGCAACCAAGTTGGATGGAAAAGTTGGAGGTGGAGATAGTTGGAGGTGGTGCCCCGACAGGGTTACAGAACGTGGTTGGACCTCATATGTCATGCTTCAGAATTTGGATTTTAACTATTTAAGACTTCTCTTTCTCCATCTGTAAATTCTGTTAGGTCTTTTCAACCTATGACCATGTTTCCTTGAATCCTTGCTGCTGTAGCCACTTCAGAATAACCTCTGAGCTGTGAGCAGTATCAGAGGGTTTCTGAAGGCGGTGATGTGCAGGTAATAATTTATGCTGAAGCCCTCCGGAAGTGTAGTGCTGTGGGTGATGACAGCCTGTTCATTCTCTGAACCCACTACAGGCTAAGCTCTGGTGTTTTGTTTTTTTTTTTTGATGCTGTGCCTCTACCCTAGCTCTTTGGCTCTGGACTCTCTCTCTTTGCTTCTGACAAGGACTTCTCCTGACTTAGGCATCTCTTTTCTCTGTTTTTTTCTTGTCTTTCTTCACTTTCCTGCTTTCATTCTGTGCTCTCAGCCTTGCTCCTTTTCCCTCCCTTTTTCTCCACCCTTCATTGTGTGGCACTAAAGTTGTTAGCAGCTGTCAGGACTTCCCTGGTGGTTCAGTGGTTGAGACCTTGCCTTAGAATATAGGGGGTGCAGGTTGGATGCTGGTCGGGGAGCTAAGATTCCTCGTGTCTCACGACCAAGAAAGCAAAACATAAAACAGAAGCACCATTGTAACAAGTTCAATGAAGGCTTTAAAAATGGTCCATGTCTTTAAAAAGAAATTGTTAGCTGTTCTGGTTCCAGATCGTACATCCTTCCACTGTACCACTCAGGAAAGTTTCAGAATCTTTCATTAGTTCCCACAGAACAAAAAAAAAGTGCCCTTGCCTAGAAGTCCTAGACCACAAGACAGTGACAGTTACGTGACTGAGTTAAGTGACTATTCCTGAACCAATAAATGAGACC